TAGACATGATGAAACGTACACCTCGCCTACAATACGACAGGACGCTGACCGAACCCATTCAAACTGCCCGGGAAACAATGAATGGATGCACGCTCGGAGACAGAGAAAGTGAGAGAAAAAGTCGGAAGCAGAGGTCTTTTCACTGAAGGTACTTTTGTAACTTTTTATTCAAATTATTTCATTTGATCCGCTAAGATCCGTGGGTGTTATTTTGACTTAAAGGTTTAGTGGATCTGGACGATGTTTTTGTTTACCTTTCATAAAATCAGTAAATAAAAACATAAGATGCAACAGAAAGAGCAAAATGTGGAATATTTGCACAGAATCTAATTCTACGAATTTGTTCAATTGTTTTATCAGGCTCAATATGAGACAGAATAAAAAGCATGGTTAGAAAAAGATTCATGGATTCTTATTGCACGATGGATATAAACGGCATAATATGGTATAAATATTGAGCGACAGTTTCATTTGAAGCACACAACCTGTTGTTCTGTCCTGCAGAGTGTATGTATAAAGACATGCCAGGTATTTTCTATGTTTTATTATTTTCATAACCATTCTTTACTTCTTCAGTTCAGATTCATTCATTTAACCCAGAACCATAGTGTTTCGTAATCGCCTTCATATAATTTTCCCCCGATCAAGTCGTTCCTGAAAAATGAAACAAAATAACTTCTCACTATAACACCCACCCCACCAATATATATTCTGAACAAGTCGGATGTTGGTTTGCAGTTGAAGTTTAAGTTGTAACGAAATAGCTCATCGGCTGTTTTGTGTGTCACGAAATATTTGTTTACATCGATGGGAGAAATATAGTGGGAAGAAGTATAATACTGTTTACTTCTTAAGTAACATGCATAACATTTAGATGTTGCGAAAATATGAATTCTTGATATTAACGCGACTTTACCTCTAAGGTTGAACTCATATTCTATTATGTTCTTTTACCCCACTAAAGATTAAGCGTTTGAGCAAATATTTAAGAAAAGAATTTTTTAATTTTTTTTAATTTCTGTACGTAGTGTAAACGGATAATTAAAACGAGCGTCACTTTTGTGTTATTGTATGTTTTTAAATAACATATATTAAAGAGAGAAATAGTTTCGTGTCACGTGTTACAACTACTATATGTTAAACAATAGGTAAGTTACAATGGACAGGTAACACATTATAGAGTATGTCCAGACATAAGGTTAATGGTGAAAACTTAAATACTAAATGTAGTATATATAATGTCAACTAGTTCATGATAACAGAAACTGTTTTCGCGATTGAAACATAATAAACCAAATTTTTAAAATAAAAATTGGGGTATATGTTCCTGAAGACTTATCTTTCACCCAGCAAATTATTGCAATTGTCTAGTGTTCTCCTTTAAAGAATAAGTAAATATATATAGAATACATCGGTCTATACAAACATTTAGTAACTTTCACTCTGTTCAGATTGTTCATCTCTTATGTAACAATAAAACGGACATGAACTTAAAAAGTGTTTTTCATCTTCCACAATATGATTATCATAGATACTAAAACAACGTGAGATTATTCTCTCATGTAAAGGGGTTGGTGGCCTAATATGACGGCTGGTTCCATAGCAATGGGGAGGGCAACATATAGCTAAAACTCGGCACTGATGTCTAAACGTTACATTTTAACGAAATATGGTATACAATACATGCTGGCTTAAATTGCAAATTCTTAAGTTTATAGTTGTTAAAATCAACCCGCATGTAACTCACTTTATCTTTGTTAGTAAGAACTTTTCAATAAATTCAGTTTTCTTCTTTTTGAAAATAAAAATTTCTTAAATAGTTATATCTATGAATGATGCTGTATTGTTCTAGAACCAAAGAGGCTCTTTGAATGAAAGGTTATGTTATAAGCGTTTCATCCATTACCATGACGAAATTAACTGTGAATTCTTTGGTGTGCGTTCCACTGTTTTGAGTGAAAGAAACACTGAAAATATAAATGCATTTTCCAGCACACACACACACACAGCTGACACACCATGATATGACTGACATATTATCTTAAGAGCCAAAGCAGTCCCTGTTTCGTGTTTGGAGTAAGGTGATCGGAAGGTATAGACGCCTCTGAAAATATAGCTTAAAATATTATTTTGGGGTTGCATGTCGGTAATTCATGACATGATAAAATGTGGTTATAATGTAAGTCAGACTGCTCTAGCCCACGTTAAACCCATGTTACTCCGTAATGAAATTTTCAAATATATGACTGTATACAAATAACGCTTGTTTCAAGTGAAACTACTGAAAGTCTGGACCAGACAATCAAGTGATTGACGTCGCGAGCATTGATGTACGTAACTGGGATTGGACGATAACAGACTGACGACCTGATTCAGAAAATGTGTTCAGTGTGTATAAATTATGTTGTTTCTTACCTTTTTCTTAACTTAGATCCAACAACAAGCAATGAAAAGACGTAAAAGGCACAACCATGACGGCATTCGAACCAACGACCACCACACGCAAACGACGATGACAACAGTATCGGCCCAATTTATTGTGAATGTCATGCGATCGCACCCCGGAACCTATATGCCGGTTAGCATTGGAGCTGCCATCTACCTAGCCGGCGTGCTGGACTATCTCATCGCTGAAATACTGGACACGACCGTCTCTCACACCGAGGACACGGTGACAAGGCTTGACCCTGACCATATTCTGGAAACACTGTGCGATGACCTGGAACTGGCTCAGCTCTTTCCTGGCATTGACCTGACCTTGGACGGGAATACTTTAGTTAGAGAAGAGTTGTCTTCCCTTTGTCAAGGCAACAGACGAGCAGTGGCTGCAAGAGAGGAGTGCCAACAGAGTAACACGTATTCCGAGTGCAGATATTCGAGCCTCTGTGAAGATCCTCCGTCGGTTCAGCGAAGTCTAGTTACGTCATTACTCCGAGGAATCGGTTTTCAAGCGAAGAAAGCTCTTACTTTTATTCAGGGTTTACTACTGTAGAAGGTTCGGGGCCTCTATTTCAGAATGTTGATAACCCTCTTAATTGTAAACCTGATGAATGTTTCAATTACTTTTTTTCGTCTCGACCTTAATCGCCATGTACTTCTTAACATTAAATGTGTTAATCTTATAATAATTACAATTTCACAATAAACAGCTTACGTGACTAAAACCCATTTTATATCTATTGAGTGAAAGCTACATCAGGAAGTGTGTTGCAGGAATGGAATATTAGAATCTGTTGCTAATAGGAAATCGGAGTTAACAAAAGACGTTTCCTAACAGTTATCAATAACTAAACATAATATGAAGCTAACGTCTACAACAGAGGAGGCATTCTTCAGTTCTCAGTACCGCTTTTGAAGACAGGTTAATTACACGATTTTTCTAACCTAATGCGTTATATACTCTAATTATTATGCATAGTATTTAATATTCGAAGACGGACGTTGCCCTTTCGTGAAAGGCTCCGCGATTTGTTGTGAGGGGAGCGTTCCCATGGGCGCGACTGAAACCTATGACCGTGGGTTCGAATCCCGATTGGACTTGATTGTTTTTTAGGTTTGCCTGCCCCATACCTGTGGTCTTGTGTTTCACCAAAGTGGGAAACAACATGCACCAGCATCACATTGTCTGATCCTCCAACAAGACGCTGACGTGCCGTGATATTACGTGAATACTGTTCAAAGCTTTAACCCCAACTCAGTACTGTTCGACGGATCATATCATATCCATAAATACCAATAATAATGGTTATTTTTCAAGTACATATCACATCCAAGTAACCTCAAACAAAATAGTGAGTGAGTATGGTTTAACGCCGCTTTTAGCAATATCGCGGCGGGGGGTACCAGAAATTGGCTTCACACATTGTACTCATGAGGGGAATCGAACCCGGATCTGCAGCGTGACGAGCGAACGCTCTAACCACTAGGTTATCCCACTGCCCCCCTAAGTACTTAGAACATGGTGAAGAGTCTATTATACATGGTGTATAGGATGGCAGATAACAGCATACAAACTGGACTGGACTTTGATTTGCATTTTATCATTGACTCGATTGTACTTCCTTCTCGAAGACCGTTATATGAAACTAAGCCCTGGGTGTGAGGCGATTTGAAACAAATGATTTGAGTTATGTTACGTTATCGTTTCCTGACGTCATGAAAAATAACTGACGCCATGTTATTTTCAACACAAGAGTATGACGTCACTTTTTTACTGCTTAATCAACTTTGAGAACTTGCAAACTTGCAAACTTAAAATCCCCTTTCAACACCAATAGCGTATATGAACAAGCTAGACATTATACGATTTTTATTCCTATATTTTACCGACAGTGCAATAATAGGCGAGGTCTATTTGACCGTATATAGGGTGTGAAAAGTAATCTGTGACTGGGTAATTTTCTGTTAAAATATATTGGTTCTGTGAAGACGGAGCTAAGAAATAAATCTGCTTCCAAATGATCCCAACCATGTTTCAAATCAAAATATGAAAACAAATCTACCAGATTTTATGACGAGAAAGCAGATTTCCTGATTTTCAAAGATTGGATGTGTAATATCAGGGATAATCTACAACGTTATATAGTCTCCCTGGGTGCCGTTGTACAAAGCGATCTTAGCGCTAAGGTGACCGTAACTCCCATTCATTAACGTAGACTTAAGGTAGCCCTAGCGCTAAGGTCGTTTTGTACAACGGCACCCTGGTAATATACATCAGTCGTGTATTAAGAGAATTTTCTCATGAGAGTTTTAACAAAACGTATTCTCAGGGTTTTGAGTGTACAGTACAGTTCATTTCTTGGATAAAAAATTCCTTAATATTCTTAAGTAATAACGTGAAACAAATAACTGAGAGTTCCCGTTTCTTTTGTTGCTCGGTTAATAACTTACTTTACAGATTCCCTTAGAATATCACGCCGTCCATACCTGTATAATCAATAAGATATAGATGTAGGTGTAGTAGCAGGTGCAGTCAAAGATGAAAGACAACATACATTCAGTTACACGTGAGACGGTTTAATCAATGTACATCTGAGTTAATGATATCAGTGGTTGTCGGGTGCTGAGCTGTAGTATCTCGACATGTCAACTTTAACAGTTGCAATGTCATAGGCTTGTTATCGAACAATTCCTCGATTGTTGAATGTTTGGAATAACAAACATCTAAACAGTTGCGCTTAACAGTAGATCATGGAGATATGATCACATCGTACTAAGAATGGGATTTCTGAGGGAAGGTATAAGGCGAGAATGACTATGGCGAGAGCTACTCGCATGGTCTCTCCTTGGTGAAATGTCAAGGAGAGTTCGTGGGGTACTGGGGGATGAAGGAACTCGGACAGGACTGGTGGGGCGGGACACTGAGGGTGACAATTTCCGAGGAGCGGGGACGGGGGGAGCGAATGAAGATGGTTCAGGGATGGGTACGCCTGTAGGCAGATGAGTTGTTGGTGGGTGGTTAGAGTTGTCTGCTGTTGACTGTAACTTTCGGGTCGAAGATCGGTTGAATTCTATTGCATGGTAAATATGTTCCGATGAACTGTCTGAGTGGACTTCTGGTGAAATCTTTCCCTCGTTCTGCGGAACTTCATAATGATGATCATCGTCCTGGAAATCTGATCCCCACGAGAGGTCATCATCATCGTCAAGAAGAGGTTCCTCTAGGTGCTTGTGTTCGTCATCTGAAGAATAAACCCATTTAAACCACACTGTATCCAACCCTTCGTACCACTCGTGTTCTTTTCCACTCAAGTGGAAATCAAATCTTAGCTACAGCTATTCATTCCAGAAGCACCGCTTTTCAATTACATGGCAAAGGTTCAATCCTGCATAGGAATTCGTAGCTGTATGTACAGTTTACCAACCCGTAGGATACATGGGTCATGAACAATAATATATCCGTATGAATATATATTTCCTGTGAGTCGAGCCAAACCAAGTTTGGAACGTGTCTCTCAGCACACCTAAACAACCTGTCACATTTACAACGGTAAATAACAACAGAAGGAGTACTAACAGCGCTTTTTGACGGACTATGGATCTGTTTGGGGTCTGTTGTTTCCTTACTGACGGCCCTGCATGTGGTACTTTAAGTTTGTCCGAGCTAGGTTACCAGTATCTGGAAATTTCTGCTGACCATCTTCAAAGTTTCAGCTTAGTATCTTGAAATTTCAGGGTTACTTGTTTTCATAAAAATAAAGAAATGTCCCCCAAAGGTTACTGTAAACATGCTCGTCCCGTTGGCTGAATTGCATTTATTTCTTCGGGAAAGTTACGACTTAATGCCTTCAAGCCATTCTGGCTTTTGTTGAAACTAAATGAATCCTATATATATCTTGTACAGATTTCTGAACTGTTAAATGTAAAAGTTCTTGTTTCTGTTCCGACGAATGAGTGAGTGAGGGTTGTTGTCTGCGATATATCATCGATATCAGGGTAGGGGACACCAAATGTGAAGACTTACTCACGCTCCTTCGGCCACCCTATAGTAATCCTTTCCCAATGCAACGCTTCATGCTCTTTAGGACATTATTTATAAGACTTTTGCAGTACGGGTCAGGTAAACTGCTCTTACCAGTAGAAGGTCCGCACCAGAATATGTATGCTGTAGCTGGACCGAACAGGTCGCCATTTTCATAAGCTGTGGCCATGGATGTCTGGACGATCCGTGTCAATATCACAGCAATACCCTGCATCGGAGAAATCACAAATATACACGTGGAATATGTACACACACGCGCACGCACACACATGGATATGACCTGCATGTACAGGTGTGGGAATCCAGGGTGTCCAGTGGCTAGCCACTGACCATGCATAAACCGCCAAATCAACATTAACAAACTAGATGCATTCAATCTCGATTCAATTATGATTTTTGATCCTCAACCTTCTCGCTACCGAAGTTTCGGATATGGCGTCCCCATGTCCATCTCTCTTCTCGTAACTTCCACAGGAATGTTCTCGCTCGTGAATGCAACTTGGTGGTAGCTTATCAATCCTGGGCATTCTCCATAACTGAATGGATAATCGGGGCTGCTTGCCCACCGCGCCTTCGTGATCTACAATGTGGCGTAAAGGCACTGTCTGTCACCAGGAACAAAGTCAGCTTTAAGAAGGATAGGGAGTTGTAGCCGTACGTCATCACGCAAAGGGAATCATTTTTCTTGTGTCAAACAAAACAGAATTTTAGAATCATCATAAAGTGATACCTTTGCAAAAATAGTATTCCATTGATTTTGGTCACGTGAATTGTATGGTCTTCCAGTCTTTGGATATCGCTCCATAGTTTCCTTGAATAATATCCAGTGGAAACTTACAACTGTCTGTAGAAACCAACACGTATGCTGATTCATTTACCTGTTGAGACAAGATGCAGCCCCGAAATGTTTGAGACAATTTTAACAATATTCCAGCAATATCACGCCAGAAATGGGATTCATTACTGTACCCATGAATGAAGATTCGAACCTGGGCCTTGGGTGTGACGCGTGAATGCTTTAAATTAACGAATACTAGGCCGTCCTAATGCCCCCTCAACACTGTAGTCTTCAAACTAATATACCGGAGAGAGTGCCTGTGACTTGGTTCAGTTCAGCACATGCATGTTTTGGACTTAAACGACGCAAAATGTGTATAGACATAAAGTTATACGTGTTGAGAGAGATGATTTCAGGTATTCAGGAAGGATTCATTCAATATTTGAATCTGAGCAATTGTCTTAGGAAAAACAAATAGAGAAATATGGCAAAAGAACACGCTAGTTCATTGCTGGAACCTATCGTGAAAATTAGCCTCTTTCGATCATTCTGGCAATCATTATTTATATGTTTGGTTATGCCAAAAGATAAATTGACAACTGGAAGGAAGGCAAATTTAAAGGCTAATTTAATCATCTTGACATGTCTGACAATTTTCCTACCAATATTCCAAAGTTCCCGTGACCTATGAAATTGTCATGGTTCCCGTATTCTACCACGAACCTGCAGGATGGATATGCACACGACGAGAGCACCAACATTGGTGAGCAGTCCCCAACCATAGAAGTTGTCCAGGGCGTGACGACATCCCACGTTGGGAGCGTGGTCTTCACTCGGTAGTCGTAGTTGTAGTGAAGTTTGTTGTTGTGGATGTCGTGGTGGATACAGGGACGTGGTGAGGCGGGGTTACAACAGCTAAATGGGACATCGTCGTTGATGTAGTTTAGAACAGCCCTGGGGAGTTAAAGGGAATTATGTCAGCTCAGAACGTCAATCTCTCCTACCAGTAATAAATGGAGTTAACCCTATCGTCTAAGGGGTCGAGGTTTGCCATGCACGTCGTAGTTGACATCTTCGTGATTCAGCTGAAAGTTGACTTTATTCTCAAAACACAGATGAAACTTCCGTTACATTGTACAATGATATGATGTATTTATGTTTTGTAAATCCAACACAAACAATATATTATCAATATAGAAAGCCCCCGTTACACTTGTAACAATTATGGTGGCGTCACATACCGTCAAAGCCGTTGGCTGACTCTGAAGAAATGCAAACCCATCCTCTTTCTATGGTGGCTGATTAGGGCCATCGCTCTCTCTCTCTCTCTCTCTCAAAATACAAAATATCAGTAGAACATTCTATCCTTCCTATCTGATGACCTTCAGTTCGTCTGACTAGATTTTAAACAAAGACTGAAGGGGCTTTATTTTCAAGACGCATGAAGCCACTGTGAACTTGGAACAATCAGATTGCTAGTAACACTAATGCTTGCATGGATAAAATGCTTCACCCAAGGAAATGTAAGCAGAGCGTACCTTGTCGGATCTTTATCTTTATATGGAAATATAATTGTAGGTACTAGTAATTTGAGCTGTTACAGTGAGTGAGTTTAGTTTTAGGCCGTTTTTAGCAATATTCCAGCAATATCACGGCGGGGGACACAAGAAATGGGCTTTCACGCATTGTACCGGGAACTGTTACAACTATGTGTAACATACTCCACAGATTGGGGCATCGGGCAGGGACATATTGTGTAAATTGTTCCACGTGATTGTTTGTAATTTAATTTTATTTCATTTCAACAATACAAACTTAAGTCAAGGCAGTCACTTTTTGTTAATAGTATGTTGGGCATACAATCTTACCTTTCAGCTGTAAGGTAGTCACTGTGTATCCAGGAGACAGAAAACCAGTCAGTGTATTTATCGTTTCCACAACACTCGAATTCAATCTGCACTGTGTCAATCTCCTGTTTCATGGCTGGGTCCGATTTGTACTTTTTCATTGCTGCGGATATGCCCTTTTGTAATGAAGAGCTGAGATGGGTAATTTGTACAAAACACATGATCCCTGCAGCAAAAATCGCCAGACAGAGCACAAGTCCTATTATAACTGTGGGGAATAAAAATTTAATCAAATCCTCTCTCTTCTTCTTGTTCCTGCTCAAAAACACCACCGTACCACAAAAGCAATTGTGACACATGCACAGGAATCCTATTGTAATTATACATGACGGTAAAACTGTTGTATTCAAATCCTCAGTCAAGTGAACTTTTGTTTGAACAGCTCCTTGAATGTAGGCCCCGGCACCTAGCAGCATGGCCGAAGGAATAATGCAAATGAGGCTGAGAATGGATGACACCAATGTAATCTTCAACCTTGTCTCTTCCGAAAGGTCTATCAGAAAATTTGCCATACCGTTTCATCTTCATCAGCCGCTAATTATAACTTGTGTATCTAATACAGAATTAACATGAATGTTTTCCATCTTTTGAAACTGTCGACTATAAAAACATGGCGAATGACGTTGTCATAGAACTGATAATATGACGTCATTAATGTAATGACGTCATTAACTTAGTTGATTGTATTTGACGTCATCAGTGAATATTATTATAATCGTTCTGTTTGTAGAACACCCACTATACAATACTTACCCATAAAAATGTACCGGTGTGTTCTAATAGAAGTTTTAAAACTTTCTGCATTTTTACAGTAGTAAAATGAACACTTCATCTTTACCGAATTAACTGTTTGTTATGAACTAATTTTCTGCTTACATGTTATGATCAGTCAATAGAATTCAATGAGAAATTAATAAAAACGTAGAATCTACATTCATACAATCATACACAATTTAAAAGATAATTTACAAGCAACGATCGAACTTGTTTAACCAAGCCGCTAACAGATGATACATCTGAACGCGATCCACATCGGTTTTCTTACAGGATTTACTTCCCTTGCCACACGTCTTGCACGCTGAAGTCAACTTTAGCTCATGGTGACATGGCGCTGTTGTGGTTAACGGTGGTGGTTTTACAGTTATGTTTTACACTGCAGGACAATCAGTTCTGCGAAATCGCCAATGTCCAGATCGAACATGAAGATGGAACCAGACAGGTTTTTGAATTAAAACGAATCGAACCGATTAAGGGGGCCCCTTGCCTCGTATGCGGGAATAAGGCGAGCAACAGAGAATGGGAAGCAACTCCGCTCAAGTTCAACATTGTGTTGACGCCCGGCGAAGTTGTTGCAGAGTGTGGTGCGTGTTTGTACAGATTAAAAATATTTTTACTTTGCGCCAGTTGTGAAGTATATTCAGTCCAATTAAGGCATGGGGCATGTCATCCAAACCAGTCGCTTACAGCTAGCGTGTGACCTGACAGGTCGACCGCGATATACACCCACTTGTATCGATCTGTTGACATGTACTATACTGTAGATTGTGATACGTTGTATACGTTTATTAAATAATTTCTTACTGCAATTATGACAGTATTCACGATTTTATCACTGTCAGTTTACATGAGCTTCTAATTGCACATGTTTATATATTATATTTTTCGTCACAAATGCGTAATGCCGATAATGATGAGGTACTTTAGCACTTTACATGTTTAATTGTTTTGATACCTAGTACTCACAGTTAATTCCATCAATGTTTTTGTAATCAATTTTACTTAGTAATTTTATTTCAAATAATTCTGCATTGTTATGACTTACTAACATGTAAAGAACGTATCAGTTTTGGTGTGAAACAGGTTTATCCTATGCTGTGATATCTTTCATTGTATTCATGATTTGCATTACAGAGACAGGCAAACACAATCTCCCAGCTGGGCTTTGTACCTCTCAGAGTTTGAACCAAGTTTGCACAAAAGATGATCCGTCCTCATGTCCAGAGGACCCCCAGGTCGGCATATTTTCTCAATGTTAGCAAGAATACTAGGACAGAAATATTTGTGAAAATATTCTCAAAATTTCTCTCTTCTATACTATATGCTTATCTGTCAAATATATTAAGACCTATTATTCTATTGTCGTCATTGTCACCTTGTATGACATGCATAGCCACTGAGGTCTAAAACATCAGAAGGTGGAGATGTTATAATTTCTGTGTTTAAAAAGAGGACATCAGCATTATAGTTAAGACAGGTTCATGGAATGATTTTACAATTTTTTCCAATAAGTGTAGTTGAAAAATTAAAAAACAAATTATGAATTCACCATATTCTGTACCACAGCCTGGGGGAAGCTTTGTGTTTTTTTGTTTGTTTTTATAGGGAGGCAGTAGAAAATTTCAGCCTAGTCTGTGTTTTGAGGACAAGCGACATAACTAAAGATTTTTATGCAAAAGTAGCTACAACTTGGCAACTGATTGTTATTGTGACATTGTATCAAAGTGAGCATCAAAAGTTATGTAGATGATTTAAAAAGATAGTCTCAATATAATTTTGCATGTATCACATGTTGAAGGGGAAAACATTGTTGATTAGGATGAATTAATTTTCCAATTTTGAAGAAAGTAGGGTTGCAATCTGTGATCTCACAAGTGTTATTGAAATTGAACGAAAGTGTTAGAATTTCTGTACACTAAGGAAAGCATGTATTTTTTAGACAGTATTAATCTGTGTTTTTGGAACAGCATCTTTGTTAGACTGAGACAAAATGAAATACAATCATGATCAATAATTATTATTTCAATGATGTTTCTTATAGATATTAGCGAACAGTATAGTAGAACAAGGTCTTGTACCCATGGCAACTGGAGATGCTGATATTGACCAAAAGATTGGTAAGATGATTTGTCAAGTCATTTTAAATTCTCATGGTCATAGAAAGGATCTTTTACCTAAAACTAAATTGTGAAAATTACCAGGTGATAATAAGAATGCAGTAGGCTTACCATATACCAGTGTATGAAATAAGCCAAAAGCCCAGTCAGATGTCAGGGCTTCAACTTGTAACTTCAAAATGTTACCAGCCCAGATTGGATTTAAACAGACCAGACAATCCAAAGAAAAGTACCCAGATGTATGGAACGTGTTATCTGAAATTTTTACCAGACCATCGAGCTGGCTAGCTGTAAATTTAGACCGTCCGTCAGAAATCTAGCCCATCTCGGGTGGTTGGATGGGCCTTATTTCACACACTGCATATACTTGTACATGTATATATATTTGTGTAATGCCATATCATGGGCAGATTTACATACAGAGTCCCGTTCACAAAGCGATTTCAGCAACTACTGCCAGTACAAAAAAGTTAAAGTATTGAAGCCACAGTTATCTTAGTGCTACATCTGTCAGAAGTGTTTCTTAAAACATGTGATTTACAGTTGACATAAGATTGTTTTGTTGAATGGGGCCCTGCAGAGTACTACTGAAATATTGATCCTACAGTCAAATGATATGTTACATTTCCTGTTAAATATTTATTTCCATGAATGACATCTCTTTACTCTAACTTGTTACAATGCTGAAGATCTCAAAATCCACAGGTGGTCATGTCAGGCCAATCTTTGAAACTCATTTTGAGATGGGCTGCTCATAATATCTTGCTGACCATTTCCAAAACTTTAGACTTTCTCCCCATTGATTGGTTAATATGAAAGTTGACCTGACATGACCAATACATAGTTTGTCAGGTCTTCACTGAAATTGTCCCTGTGTAAGCTAGTATGTTACACCTGTATGTTGCTAATATTAATCACATGCTATGTTGCTAATATTAATCACATGCGAAATGACCTTGTGTTGTAGCGGTGGCAGTGGTCTTGGTTAATTTAGGATCTCATGACCTCGCCATTCAAAAGTTTACAAAAATACTTCAGGTAAGTGTTCTGTTTCAGTCTGTCATCAATTAATGTCACACATTCTATTGGGCTATCTGGAGTTGGAAATATCTGAAAAGTCTACATGTCATGAAAGGGATTGGAATTGGGTAGACTGGTATTTAAGAGATGATGTTGGTGTCAATGTTGTTGCTGTTGTTGTTGCTGTTATTGTGTGATGACATCATGTAGCAAATGACAGTCCACAACATGAAATACAATATATCATTACTCCAGTACTGATTGAAATACTGAGTTATTTTTATTTTGGATGCACTTTAAATGACTTGTCAGAAGTGGGTGTTAAAATATCCCAATATTTTCAGGTCAATCCAAGAACTGTAGCTGCTTTCTATGGCCGAGGAGTGGCCTATGCAAGGAAAGGCTTAAACGTATGTTGCTTTCAATGATCCAAAGCTGAGATATTTTGTCAGGAGTCCTTTCCATATCCAGTATAAATATGGACTTCCAGGGTGGCCTTGTGGTGAAAATATTCATCTTGCAGAATAACCAAATTTGATTCCACCCATATTTGATAACTGGCATAGCTATAAGCAGTAGTGGTGGTCCGATTAATTGAAATAATCGAAGATTGGTTGCAGTGACTAAACGACCAAGCAATCGATCATGTTTTCTCATAATCGAACAGAAACAATTCTGGAACACTTGTTTTGATCAACAATATTTTTCACAAGGTTGGTTTTGTCTGTTACATTTCATAAGCACTGCAAGCTCGTTCCAAGTCATGATTGAATTTATCTTAAAGACACCAAGAAATTTATGTTCCTATCATACTAGTCATCCTTTAAAGATGTGAACTTTTGCCCCAAAAAACCCCAAATAACTATGTTTTTTTCCTTATTTGTTTGTGCTTTAACAAATTTCCTAAATGACGCTAACCATTTGTTTTCGATGATTGATCGGTGGTAATGAACCAATCATCAATTATGAGATTTTAACCAATTCCCAACACTAATGAGCAGTGTAAAACCTTGACTAACATATAGTCTGTGGAATCTTTTATTACACAGTACCTTCCTCTCCTCTAAAACAATTCCTGATGCTTATTTCATTATGGGATAGATCTAGCTAGACTTGCATTTATACATTGGTTTTGTTTCCACAAATACATATATTCCACAGTCATGGTGCAGGACAACATAAAACCCCTGTCACTATATCCATACTCTAGTCACATGAGCCTTGTTCTGTCTGTAGATACCGGAAAATGCAGTATTAGCCCTGTCCGACTTCACAGAAGCCATTCAGACGGATAAAAAGAGACATGAAGCCTATGAAAGGAGAGCAGAGGTAAGACACAATTCTGTAGAAATATTTTTAACCAGCGTGTAAGATGTCGTAGGATCATCTTTACTTTGTATTCCAAGTGCTTAGCACACTCATATCATCAGTGCATGAACTAAGGACGGTGACTTTCCAACACTGGGGTCTAGAGGCTTCTTTCCTATATCAAAGTCTAGTTTTCATGTGGGCTAGTGAACGTTCTTGTCTTAGAGGATGACTCTTAATGATTTAAAGCTTGTTATCCTTAGAACATACCAACAAAATATTGTCATCATATTTTGTGTCAAGAGAAGTATATAATCCAGTTACTGTGAGACCTACTAAGTCAAAACAGATTCGAATTGTTGTGCAGATATAAAGATGAAACTATATAAATTATTGTCTACATGGAGTTGCCTTCTTCTCCCTTGAAACTACTTGAGTTTACAAAGCCTTGATTGTGTTACAGGTGTATATCAGTCTCGGTCAGTATAACGAAGCGCTGGAGGATCTCACAGTGGCCATCAAACACAGACCCACAGAAAAACTATATTTTATGAGAGGTGTTATCAATCTTTTACTAGAGGTGAGATATGAGGCACCACATTTGAGGCCGTTATCTGACATGTATACAACCATTGTCATGGGGAACATAGAGATTTTTCTGGGTTACATCTTCTTTTTATTCTTGAGTACAACAGTTTTACCTGATGATGGGCCCAGAACAAGCCCTGAAATGTTGTACTCAAGAATAAAAAGAAGATGTAACCCAGAAAAATCTCTATGTTCATCAAATAGCATCTTCTAAAATGCCAATCAAGCATCTCATTGTCATGGGTTTCTGGTGTTACATATTCCTTGCATTTATGTTCTTAGTTATGTCACCATCATGTACATACACATTCGTGTCACCAAGGTTGTAAATGTCTAAGACCTTTCTTCCCACATTAAGCTGACACACTTGGAAATAACTGAAATACTGTCCAAATTGGTATTAAACCCAACTCACTCACTGTAGTGGCAAAACATTGAAGGAATCGTGCTGATGGTATTGAAACGGCTATACAGATTTTACGCATCCTAATTATGTTCAAGGTATACTTGCTATAGTGCTACCTGTCTAATGAAGCTGTGTAAGACTATTAGCCTGGGTGACACTTTGTTATGTTATTTCAGAATTTTGCAGATGCTGAGATGGATTTTAAACAGAATCTGGAGTCTGAGGGTGACATGTACATCATGTCCTACTTCAACCTGGGTCTGGCCCAGTACTACAGGGGTCGTGTCAGGGTGAGTACTATAGGGTATCAGTACTGCAGGGGCCGAGACAGGTTGAGTACTACAAGGGTCAAGGTGAGTACTCCAAGGGTCAAAGTGAGTACTCCAAGTGTCAAGGTGAGTACTATAAGGGACAAGGTGAGTACTACTGGGGTCAAGCTAAGTACTATAAGGGTCAAGTTGAGTACTACAGGGGTCAAGGTGAGATCTGTGTGCTGACGATTATGTCCTGACTCTGAGGGTGTGGGTTCGAATCCCAGATAGGACTCAATCCGACAAAAGTACTAGAATCTGTAGAATTCTGTAGAATTTGCTGAGAAAGTGTAATCCAACGTATAACACATGTTACATATGACCACTTTCTAAATGGCATTGTGTATTCATAATACTTGCCTCCTTATCTAATCCATTAATTGTTTGCTCTGTGATTACTCTTGTGAGATGTACTCACTCATACAAATAGGCTTTTCTTGTATACTCAGTAATATCTGTCTGAATTAATGGCTGTTGACCATATTTGTTTCATAACTGATGCTTTTATATTTTCAGAATGCTATAGAAGTATTTAAAGAAATTCTAAAGAAGAAACCAGATCACATAGAAGCATGTACAAGTTTAGCACAGGCATTCAAGTAAGTGACTGTTTTCTATTTTTGTTGTTTTTCTGCCTTCTTTGGTCATCCAAGTGTTCGGGTAATGTAATGTTATTAATTTGTGATGTGGTGAACATGGATGATACCATATCACAGTTTCCCCCAACAGTGAAGCAATTTGACATCATATTGCCTCAGTTAACCAATAGGCATTGAGAAGTACTAAAATGCATCCGCAAATATTCAGAGTTTTCAGCAATAATCCAGCATTCTCAGCAAGGAAGGGAGTATTTGGAATTGGGGTATGATTGTAGTTGGAAGTCAGATAGTATGTACAGTTTGGAAATAGTCGCTCTTTATTTTCCAGAGAATTAGGCAACTTGAAAGCAGCCCGAAGTCGTTTTAATCAGTCACTTGCATTGGACCCTAACCACAGCCTGTCTCTGCAGCTCCAGGGGAGTATGATGTACCACAGTGGGGACTCCCAAGGGCCATTGACGACTTCAACGTCAGTACAGCATCCATACAAATAGTTGTCATATGTGCCACAGAGCACTCATAGGAGGTTAGGTGTACCCTTTGGAAAATAAGGGAGCCAACAAGACGAATACTTTTGACCAATCGTGCAGTGGTATCTCTAAAGTTCTGAATTCAGATTTTTTGTCCACTTAATGCTGAGCACAAGTCAAATGAATGCACATTTTTCTTTCACTTTTTCAATATTCAAATTAAGACATTTTGCTGTCACGCCTAGTGACCTCATGATGTCATCTACACTCATGGTGGTGTGGTGAAAATATAAGTGTTCACTACTTCGTAACAATGACAAGAAATTGTATAAATTCATTATACTATTGTACCAAAGTATATGAATGATGATGTAAATGAACAGTTGGAAAATGCTACTTCATTAACAAAATATTGTATTGCTTGGAAACTCACATGGAAATCTTCGTTGTAAAGCTCACCCAAAATAATCACAACAATTTCATCATTTTCTGATTAATTAGCAACCATGATGATTTGATTCTAGTTATCATTATTGTCATATTTTTCCGTTTCAGAAATGTTTAGAAATCGACTCAGAAAACGTTCACTGCCAATATATGCAAGGCCTGGCCTACGTAGCTATGGGCAAGTTTTACGATGGGGTCAAGGCCTCCACGAAAGTAGGTACCGTACCACTCAATTCCTTTCACTAAATACCATGTTTTAGCACTTGTGTTGTAGCACTGTGCTCTGTGCTTGATATTACTGATACTTGATACTACACACAACAGTGTCTCTCTTACTACAACTGACCCCTTCTCCATCGTCGTTGAATTCCTGACCCATATATCGGCCATGTTAAGCAGTAATTGACTTTTCAAATAATTACCCGCACATTCGGTTTTCTAACTTACTAAAATCAGTTCTTGGTGCATGTTACTGCTACACAAACTACAATAGTAGCACGCGTTAAGGTCTGATTTTAATGAGTTCATCAATGACTATTTTCTATCATTTATGTCAAAGAATAGTTGAAACAATTCTTATTTTGCTTACCATTTGTTCCAGGTAAGTTTAGCTCTTGAAAATTCCCAACATAATGCCTTGTTTGTATGCTAGCTGAAATATCACTGCATTTATGATTCTATTAGGTAGGATATATGTCAATAGTCTGCAGGTAGTATCAACTGTTTGGTGGGTTAGTATTGGTATTTCATAATCATGAATACTGATCAGTCATTGGTTGATTAGTGATTTGTCAATGCCAACTGATGGTAGTAATTAGGAAGTTTTAACATTTTGCATTCTCCACTTTCAGGTCATGGTAAAAAGTCAAGGATCTATAAAAATGTCACCTGAGTTTATAAAAGCTCATTACCTCCGAGGTAGGTGTTACCGATTAGGGCTAGTTGTTCATCAGTTACGGCTATGGCTGCATCTTTGAGAAGTTGTCTTTAGGCCATTATCAGCTTGGTAATCAAAGCAGGGAACTAGCCTTCTATTTGGTGGCCCTTGTTTTCACAGGGTACATTTGAAGTGTCCTCCTTGGTAATGTTTGTTAGATCTTCACTAACAAAGGTATCAAATCACGAGGAATATGATTTGAGTAAGATTGACAGTATCCTACGCAAAAGTTCCTAGCTGCCATTTTGTAATTCCTGAATGAGTTGCTTAACTAGCAATTTACCCACTATTTACTGTGCATGTGATGGAGAGTGTGACACCAGCTGTGTGATGTTACAGAATATGGCCGATATTTACATTCCAAGTTAGACGTGAACCTGGACCAGCTCCAACCAGAGTACGATCTGGGAGACGAATTCCAGGACCACTGGGTCAAAACATTGCCTTTTACATTTACGGTATGTCATGTGGTCCCATGGTTGTTTTACAGACAGTTTACGGTATGTTGTGTGTGATCCTATAGTTGTTTGAAAGATTGTTGACGGTATCTATGTGTGGTCACATGGTTGAGAGACATTTTCTGGTGTGTTTGAGTCACATGGCTGTTTGAGAGATTGTTTATGGTATGTCATTTACGGCAATTTGGTTGTTGATGGCATTGTTAGAAATGACAGTTTTGTCATGTTTTGGAGAATATACTAACAAATATTGAAGTCAGATATATAGAGGATATTTTGTTAATGCTGTCAAATAACATATCAACTTTGTCAGACCACGAGATGAAATATACATGTTATTTGACAACATTAACAAAATATTCTATGTATTATATTTTGATCATTGTTTATAAATGATCGAGTAAGTCTGCATTTTATTACGCAACCCAACTACAGTCTAGCCCTTAAGCAGAAAGTAGTTCCAGGCAAAAGTGATATTCTACTCAGTGAAATAACATGTTATTCTACTCAGTGAAAATACCATTTTTATTTTCACCAATATTTACAGTATTTCACCCTTAAGAATATAATAAAAATTTATATTGTTAGTTTATATAACAGCATCAATGTATTTAACATCAACATGTATCTTCAGATCACTGAGGGCTGGGTGGTGGGTGGGGGGGGGTTGTAGCCAAGTGGTTAAGGTGTTTGCTCATCACACCAAAGACCCTGGTTTGATTCTCTACATGGGTACATGTGTGGAGCCCATTTATTAAATGGTGTTCCCCACAGTGATATTGCTGGAATATTGCTAAAAGCGGTGTCAAACCATACTCGCTCACCCAATTCAGATCACTGAATATCGCTTAACTGCCCCTATACAAAGTAAGAAAGTTTTCCCTTATGCAAATATTCTGAAGCTTTGTTGTCCACTAGCAAACCCATCTTACTCACTCACTCACTCACTCACTCACTGTTGACAGAAACCATATCAAGAGCAGCCAGGTTTACAGCCAGACATCAGGTGAGTAGTTTACAACTGACTTCAGTCAGTTAACTTTAGAAAGAAACAAAGAAAATACTGTCAATCATACTGACCAAGTGGACAAAAGGAAACCTATAAACATTTAGAATTTGTTTCTTCATTGGCATGTCACCAGGGATTGCATTTGGGTCATTTTGAAGCACAAGTGGGAAGCCATCTGAAAAGTTATGCAAGACCTCAAAGTAAATTCACAAAAAGACGTCTTTTATGTGTCAGGTTTTATCAAACATATAGACCAATACCAAAACATATACTAGTATTAAGTTTAGTTCATTTAAAGAAAATGAATGTTAGTTATTAGGCCAGACAAATTTTATTGCTTGTTTTACGGATCTGCCTGTTGTATTTTTTGAAGAATAAGAAAAAAGATAAAAATTAATTTTCCCCGTTCAAAAAATAAAATCCTCATGTTTTTATTGGCCAAAAATGTAAACTTACAAAAAAAAATAATTTTTTATTGTTATTTGCCCCATTTAAACTTTATCAGTTGCCAAAAAATAAAATACTTTTAGTATTTAAAAGGAATATTACTTTGACTGGTGATGTTTATTTTCTATTTTTTTTTTCCCTTCTGCCTTTAGGTTTTCTGAGGACAAAAATCCATAAAACAAGAAATAAAATTGGTCTGGCCTTACGTTGAATTATGAAACAGAAACTCTGTAAGATTTCCTCCTGACAAGGATGGTGTGAGGATATATACCTGGTAGATAAATATGATTTCATGTTTGATGCATCAACATTGTTGTATGTCATGACTAAAACTTTGTCTGTTACTGATATGAATATATCTTCACATGTAACCTCACGTCTCTTCCTCCAGAGATGTCAGCCCACAGACTCTGTCCAGCTACCCCCCTCAAGTACAGTCCCTGCTATGTCGGGCGGAGAAGATTGGCTGGTCCATGCAGGTCAACTCGGATGGCTTTACACCCAATAAAAGACTTAACCTGGCTATGGGGCTTGCCTCTATACATATAGCACAACATTTTGAGGTATGGTGCACAAACAGCATTCTTAATTGTTGCTTAATCTTTCTTAAGAAATATTACCAATGATTCCATTTGCTTGTGAGCAGATTTAAAAGATTTAAAATACTCAACAGAACTGCTTTGGATTCAGGCTTTGTTTGTGCATTAAACATTTGTCTTTCTGCTTCAGATGAAATGGAAAAGTTATAAAAATACAAAAGGAAGTGGAGGTATGTATAAGGATAAATAATTACTCTAAATTAACGTTAGTTATTAAATTGAATTCTCCAGTTTCTCAAGGTTTTCGAAACATTTGAAAAACATTTGCTGTTAAAAAGTGAAATATTCATGGAAAATATAGCAAGTTGTGATTGTGTTCAACCATTATTCAGGAAACACTATTTCTGAATATTTCAATAGTTGGCATGACTTTGAATGTTGTATATGTATTTCATTCTCTTGTTAATCAGTTATTCAATGTATGATAATTACTTTGTGTATTTTACTCATGTATGACCATTTTTGTAAAACTAATTGTAAGATGCTGCAAATGTTCTGTTTAATGCAAGAATATTTAAATAAACTACACAGACTCAGGGAAACTTGTGGGCGCAGGTGGCGTAGTCATATAAGGTTCCCTAAGCTGAGTTACTTCCCTTAGATGTACCAGGAATTGATGTTTATTGGCATGAATCCAAGATTCGCCCTGCACATGTTTCTATGATTGTCAGTACCATACACACTCATTTCCTCCACCAACAGTCAAAGTCTAGAACCTGCTCTACTTTAGGTTTTCATCCCATGTCAGTTCTGACATTCAGTAGGATATCCCAGTGAGTGAGTGAGTTTAGTTTTATGCCGCACTCAGCAATATTCCAGCTATATGGCGGCGGTCTGTAAATAATCGAGTCTGGACCAGACAATCCAGTGATCAACAGCATGAGCATTGATCTGCGCAATTGGGAACCGATGACATGTGTCAACCAAGCCAGCGAGCCTGACCACCCGATCCCGTTAGTCGCCTCTTACGACAAGCATGGGTTACTGAAGGTTCATTCTAAACCGGACCTTCACGGGGTCATTACGATAACTGAAATACTGTTCAAAATGGTGATACACCAAACACAGTCTCTTGGAAAGTAGGTGAGATAATTCCTGAAATCCCTCCCCATAACAGGCTTCACCAATATGATTATGATCCATGACTTAAGTCACATAGGACTTTCTTTAACTGACAACTGTTCAAGTCATCCTCATCCCACTCACTCATCTTCTTGTAATGTAACCGTAGTCAATATCACAGAGAGGCCAATAAGCTGGAGGGAGGTGTTTGGAATAGCAGTGCAATATCGTCGCCTAGCCGACCCGGAACAGCCAGTGTTGTGGGTGTCATCTCTACCTGATCATCTTACAACAGAAGGACATCGGACAGATATCACGTTTATAAGGTGGGACTATTACCTGCATGTGACACTGTTAAGCTGTACAGAACCATACAGACTGAACAGACAAACATTCAGCTCATTGTAATATGGTAACCAGTCTGTGGCTAGACTTCACATACAGACAGTAGTATGTTTCCAAAGTTTTGAAATAACTTAATAAATCTTTTATATTTTTTTTGCTTCCTTCTTGTGTGTTCTGGATAAATAAGAACTGCTGAATGCTTATTTATGACAATGTTAATTTGTTGTTTTCTAATTTCAATGTTTTTGTTTAACGTAATTTCTTAATGCATGTATAATTAATGGACACTGCTGAAGTCTCTACTTTGGCAAAATGGGTGCTCAATGATTATTTCCTATACCCTGCCTGTTTGTTTTGCAGGGGATCTGTGGCAAACTTAAAAGTAATGCAGTATTTTGACCTGGTGTTTAAACTGGCCAAGACAATGCTGGAACACTATTCAGGGTAAGAACATTCAAATCCATAATAAAGAATTATCAGATTATCATCTCCCGCCTAAATACCAGGCACACCACCTGAAAATAGTTTGATCTTCATGTATTCATGGGTTATATATCGGCATATTGTATTTTTTCAGGGAGGGTGCTGTATCCTATGCTAACCTCAAGGAAGACATAAGGAAGGCCCAGTCATGTGAGGACCTCCTATCAGTAGCCAGGGTAAGGCCTTCTTGTCAGTAGCCAGGGTAAGGCCATCATATCAGTAGCCAGGGTAAAGCCTTCTTGTCAGTAGCCAGGGTAATGCCTTCCTATCAGTAGCCAGGGTAAGGCCTTCTTGTCAGTAGCCAGGACAAGGCCCTCCTATCAGTAGCCAGGGCAAGGCCTTCCTATCAGTAGCCAGGGTCAGGCCCTCCTATCAGTAGCCAGGGTATAGCCCTACCAGTAGCCAGGTTCAGGCCCTCCTATCAGTAGCCAGGGTCAGGCCCTCCTATCAGTAGCCTGGGTAAGGCCCTCCTATCAGTAGCCAGGGTAAGGCCCTCCTGTCAGTAGCCTGGGTAAGACCCTCCTATCAGTAGCCAGGGTCAGGCCCTCCTATCAGTAGCCAGGGTCAGGCCCTCCTATCAGTAGCCAGGGTATAGCCCTCCTATCAGTAGCCAGGGCAAGGCCTTCCTATCAGTAGCCAGGGTCAGGCCCTCCTATCAGTAGCCAGGGTATAGCCCTACCAGTAGCCAGGGTCAGACCCTCCTATCAGTAGCCAGGGTCAGGCCCTCCTATCAGTAGCCTGGGTAAGGCCCTCCTATCAGTAGCCAGGGTAAGGCCCTCCTGTCAGTAGCCTGGGTAAGACCCTCCTATCAGTAGCCAGGGTCAGGCCCTCCTATCAGTAGCCAGGGTCAGGCCCTCCTATCAGTAGCCAGGGTAAGGCCCTCCTGTCAGTAGCCTGGGTAAGGCCCTCCTGTCAGTAGCCTGGGTAAGACCCTCCTATCAGTAGCCAGGGTTAGGCCCTCCTATCAGTAGCCAGGGTTAGGCCCTCCTATCAGTAGCCTGGGTAAGGCCCTCCTATCAGTAGCCAGGGTAAGGCCCTCCTGTCAGTAGCCAGGGTAAGGCCCTCCTATCAGTAGCCAGGGTAAGGCCCTCCTGTCAGTAGCCAGGGTTAGGCCCTCATATCAGTAGCCAGGGTAAGGCCCTCCTATTAGTAGCCTGGGTAAGGTCCTCTTATCAGTAGCCAGGGTATGGCCCTCCACTCAGTAGCCAGGGTAAGGCCATGTTGACAGTGTGAAACAAACCAGTGTTGACTAAAATCAGTGATAGGCCTTACAGTAGCCAACTAAACTTTTCTATCTCATCAGTTTCACTTCATGGACCAACCATTGCAGGTGGTTGAGGTTTGGCATGTTTTTTCAAAGCATACATGTTGTTTCCTACATAGTGAAGACAAATCAGTGTATAAGGACATCCAGTTCTTTGTAGGGCAGGGTAGAAACTGGACTGGAACTATTGTTTAATGCATTTTCTGCCTTGTTATATAGATTCTTGTTACTTATCCCATATAATTCATTTGGCAAGCTATATTGAAATGGAAACATCTGTCCATTCATCAGTCTGTCCGTCTGTGCATGCTTCTGTCTGTGCAAGAGGTCATTTCCAGATCTCAAAAGTGGTGCAGTATTTCTTTCAAAAACAACATTTTTCAAGTTTCCATAGTAACAACTCTTTAATACTTGAAAATGACAGTAGTTCTCACTGTGGAATTTGGGATTTTTTGCCCAACTCATTCAGCTGCAACTGGAACTATCCATGTTCCTCATTCAGATCACCGCATTGTTTGGGGGATAGTGCTGGCAGCAAGACACAAGAATTAGGTTTGTCACTAAACTCTGTATACAAGTATGGTCAAGTGGGATGAGTGGAACATAGTGAAAACAATTTTTATAGTGAACAGTGTATTCTGAAAAAAAACAGATTATAGTGAACAGTGTATTCAGTTTAAAGTACATAGTGGTGATTTTATAGAAAAATGAATCCTAGTAAGTAGCAGTTAGGTTTATATACAGGGTATACTATACCTCGGTTTATAAACAGGGTTAACTATACCTAGGTTTATATACAGGGTAAACTATACCTAGGTTTATAAACAGGGTAAACTATACCTCGGTTTATAAACAGGGTAAACTGTACCTCGGTTTATAAACAGGGTAAACTATACCTAGGTCATATTAACAGGGTAAACTATACCTAGGTCATGTAAACAGGGTAAACTATACCTAGGTTTATATACAGGGTAAACTATACCTAGGTCATATAAACAGGGTAAACTGTACCTCGGTTTATATACAGGGTAAACTATACCTAGGTTTATATACAGGGTAAACTATACCTAGGTCATATAAACAGGGTAAACTGTACCTCGGTTTATATACAGGGTAAACTATACCTCGGTTTATATACAGGGTAAACTATACCTAGGTCATATAAACAGGGTAAACTATACCTACGGTAGGTTTATATACAGGGTAAACTATACCTAGGTCATATAAACAGGGTAAACTGTACCTCGGTTTATATACATGGTAAACTATACCTAGGTTTATAAACAGGGTAAACTATACCTCGGTTTATATACATGGTAAACTGTACCTCGGTTTATAAACAGGGTAAACTATACCTAGGTCATATTAACAGGGTAAACTATACCTAGGTCATGTAAACAGGGTAAACTATACCTAGGTTTATATACAGGGTAAACTATACCTAGGTTTATAAACAGGGTAAACTGTACCTCGGTTTATATACAGGGTAAACTATACCTAGGTTTATAAACAGGGTAAACTGTACCTCGGTTTATATACAGGGTAAACTATACCTCGGTTTATAAACAGGGTAAACTGTACCTCGGTTTATAAACAGGGTAAACTGTACCTCGGTTTATATACAGGGTAAGCTATACCTCGGTTTATAAACAGGGTTAACTATACCTCGGTTTATAAACAGGGTAAACTATACCTACGGTAGGTTTATATACAGGGTAAACTATACCTAGGTTTATATACAGGGTAAACTATGCCTAGGTTTATAAACAGGGTAAACTATGCCTAGGTTTATAAACAGGGTAAACTATACCTAGGTCATATAAACAGGGTAAACTATGCCTAGGTTTATAAACAGGGTAAACTATACCTCGGTTTATAAACAGGGTTAACTATACCTCGGTTTATAAACAGGGTAAACTATACCTACGGTAGACTATACCTACGGTAGGTTTATATACAGGGTAAACTATACCTAGGTTTATATACAGGGTAAACTATACCTAGGTTTATGTACAGGGTAAACTATGCCTAGGTTTATAAACAGGGTAAACTATACCTAGGTCATGTAAACAGGGTAAACTATACCTAGGTCATATAAACAGGGTAAACTATGCCTAGGTTTATAAACAGGGTAAACTATACCTCGGTTTATAAACAGGGTAAACTGTACCTCGGTTTATAAACAGGGTAAACTGTACCTAGGTTTATAAACAAGGTAAACTGTACCTCGGTTTATAAACAGGGTAAACTGTACCTCAGTTTATATACAGGGTAAACTATACCTCGGTTTATAAACAGGGTTAACTATACCTCGGTTTATAAACAGGGTAAACTATGCCTAGGTCATATAAACAGGGTAAACTATGCCTAGGTTTATGTACAGGGTAAACTATACCTCGGTTTATAAACAGGGTAAACTGTACCTCGGTTTATAAACAGGGTAAACTGTACCTCGGTTTATATACAGGGTAAACTATACCTCGGTTTTTAAACAGGGTTAACTATACCTCGGTTTATAAACAGGGTAAACTATACCTACGGTAGGTTTATATACAGGGTAAACTATACCTAGGTTTATATACAGGGTAAACTATACCTAGGTTTATAAACAGGGTAAACTATACCTCGGTTTATAAACAGGGTAAACTATACCTACGGTAGGTTTATATACAGGGTAAACTATACCTAGGTCATATAAACAGGGTAAACTATGCCTATGTTTATATACAGGGTAAACTATACCTAGGTTTATAAACAGGGTAAACTATACCTCGGTTTATAAACAGGGTAAACTATACCTACGGTAGGTTTATATACAGGGTAAACTATACCTAGGTCATATAAACAGGGTAAACTATGCCTATGTTTATAAACAGGGTAAACTATACCTAGGTCATGTAAACAGGGTAAACTATACCTAGGTCATATAAACAGGGTAAACTATGCCTAGGTTTATAAACAGGGTAAACTATACCTCGGTTTATAAACAGGGTTAACTATACCTCGGTTTATAAACAGGGTAAACTATACCTACGGTAGGTTTATATACAGGGTAAACTATACCTAGGTCATATAAACAGGGTAAACTATGCCTATGTTTATAAACAGGGTAAACTATACCTAGGTCATGTAAACAGGGTAAACTATACCTAGGTCATGTAAACAGGGTAAACTATGCCTAGGTTTATAAACAGGGTAAACTATACCTCGGTTTATAAACAGGGTTAACTATACCTCGGTTTATAAACAGGGTAAACTGTACCTACGGTAGGTTTATATACAGGGTAAACTATACCTAGGTCATATAAACAGGGTAAACTATGCCTAGGTTTATAAACAGGGTAAACTATGCCTAGGTTTATAAACAGGGTAAACTATGCCTAGTAATGAGATGCATGAAGAGTGAAACCTGATATAAAAGTAACGAGGTTGATAATGAAACCTACCACAGACATGACAGGTTGTACACAGGAACTATGAAAGTAATAACAAGTAAAATCATACCGAAATAAATCCATTTGTAATGAAGATTGTGGAATATGATTCAGAAGCATGACATTTATAAAGAATAATATCTGATTTAGGAAGAAAATTACTCTACAAATGCCATTACATTTTACAGGCTATCACTATAGCTGTTGACATATTCATGACAAGTATTCACCATTATGGGATATGTCACAGACTTTATGTGGGGGCAGTGGAGTAGCTTAGTGGTTAGAGCGTTCACTCGTCACGGTGAGGACCCAGGTTCGATTCCCCATATGGGTACAATGTGTGAAGCCCATTTCTGGTCCCCCGCCATGATGTTGCTGGAATATTGCTAAAGGCGGTGTAAAACCTAACTCACTGACTCACTCACTCATACTGTTAGGTATTGCTGTAATTTTTGTTATCACAGCCTGCCCTTTTCTTTTGTACAGAAGAGAAAGATCAACCCCCATGGGTTTCTTGTGTCAACACAAGTGCCCAGCATGACTAAGACGAAGGAGGAGGATCGCTTAGACGGGGCCATGCTGATCCTGACGGAGGACTTGTGAGTACAGCTTCTCTGTTGTCCATAACTGTCGGTCATCACTAGTCGTACAGCTTCTCTGTTGTCCATAACTGTCAGTCATCATTAGTGGTACAGCTTCTCTGTTGTCCATTAACTGTCGGTCATCACTAGTCGTACAGCTTCTCTATTGTCCATAACTGTCGGTCATCACTAGTCGTACAGCTTCTCTGTTGACCATTAACTGTCGGTCATCACTAGTCGTACAGCTTCTCTATTGTCCATAACTGTCGGTCATCACTAGTCGTACAGCTTCTCTGTTGTCCATAACTGTCGGTCATCACTAGTCGTACAGCTTCTCTGTTGTCCATAACTGTCGGTCATCACTAGTCGTACAGCTTCTCTGTTGTCCATAACTGTCGGTCATCACTAGTCGTACAGCTTCTCTGTTGTCCATTAACTGTCGGTCATCACTAGTCGTACAGCTTCTCTATTGTCCATAACTGTCGGTCATCACTAGTCATACAGTTTCTCTGTTGTCCATAACTGTCGGTCATCACTAGTCGTACAGCTTCTCTATTGTCCATAACTGTCGGTCATCACTAGTCGTACAGCTTCTCTGTTGTCCATAACTGTCGGTCATCACTAGTCGTACAGCTTCTCTGTTGTCCATAACTGTCGGTCATCACTAGTCGTACAGCTTCTCTGTTGTCCATAACTGTCGGTCATCACTAGTCGTACAGCTTCTCTGTTGACCATTAACTGTCATTCATCACTAGTCGTACAGTTTCTCTGTTGTCCACAACTGTCAGTCATCACTAGTCGTACAGCTTCTCTGTTGTCCATAACTGTCGGTCATCACTAGTCGTACAGCTTCTCTGTTGTCCATAACTGTCGGTCATCACTAGTCGTACAGTTTCTCTGTTGACCATTAACTGTTGGTCATCACTAGTCGTACAGCTTCTCTGTTGTCCATAACTGTCGGTCATCACTAGTCGTACAGCTTCTCTGTTGTCCATAACTGTCGGTCATCACTAGTCGTACAGCTTCTCTGTTGACCATTAACTGTCGGTCATCACTAGTCGTACAGCTTCTCTGTTGTCCATAACTGTCGGTCATCACTAGTCGTACAGCTCCTCTGTTGACCATTAACTGTCGGTCATCACTAGTCGTACAGTTTCTCTGTTGTCCACAACTGTCAGTCATCACTAGTCGTACAGCTTCTCTGTTGTCCATAACTGTCGGTCATCACTTTTCGTACAGCTTCTCTGTTGTCCATTAACTGTCGGTCATCACTAGTCGTACAGCTTCTCTGTTGTCCATAACTGTCGGTCATCACTAGTCGTACAGCTTCTCTATTGTCCATAACTGTCGGTCATCACTAGTCGTACAGCTTCTCTGTTGACCATTAACTGTCGGTCATCACTAGTCGTACAGCTTCTCTGTTGTCCATTAACTGTCGGTCATCACTAGTCGTACAGCTTCTCTGTTGTCCATTAACTGTCGGTCATCACTAGTCGTACAGCTTCTCTGTTGTCCATAACTGTCGGTCATCACTAGTCGTACAGCTTCTCTGTTGACCATTAACTGTCGGTCAACCCTAGTCGTACAGCTTCTCTGTTGACCATTAACTGTCGGTCATCACTAGTCGTACAGTTTCTCTGTTGTCCACAACTGTCAGTCATCACTAGTCGTCAGTCATCGTACAGCTTCTCTGTTGTCCATAACTGTCGGTCATCACTAGTCATACAGTTTCTCTGTTGTCCACAACTGTCAGTCATCACTAGTCGTACAGCTTCTCTGTTGTCCATAACTGTCGGTCATCACTAGTCGTACAGCTTCTCTGTTGTCCATAACTGTCGGTCATCACTAGTCGTACAGCTTCTCTGTTGTCCATAACTGTCGGTCATCACTTTTCGTACAGCTTCTCTGTTGTCCATTAACTGTCGGTCATCATTAGTGTTTTGTCTGTTGTTCTGGTCTACATAGTTTTGTTGTTAACTTCATGAAATCGTCTAAGAATATGTTATTGGTTATTTTTTTCAGAAATGGCAAGATTGTGTTTGCTCTGAACATAGCCAATACCCAAGAGCGGATGACGATGTACTCGTCAGAGATGGACTATGTTTTTACTCAGATACAGGACGAGATCAGGAAGACAGGCCTCAGCAAGATATCTGTAAGTCTTGTGGTAGAGGGGAAGAAGGATATGGTACATGACATTGACGGGGTAGGCACATTGCTTCAGTTTGGGTGCAGTATTGTGTACCGAAATGGACTCACTCACTCACTCAATCACTCACTCATCAGATCTATCTGTTGTCAGTGAGGTGAGGTGAAATTGGGTTATACGTCGTGCTTGAGAATATTTCGCTCATATGACGACGTGCATGCGTGTGTATGTGTATGTGCGGCTGCTTGTACTAGCCCAGACTGAAGCTGGTTTTATAGTGCTAGCCCACTGAGATACCATGCCTCAGTGAAGCATGAATACCCCACTCAGACAAACTATACTGACTCCGAGCCGACCAGTCCTTGTTGTACCCATTAATGCCGAACGCCAGGCAGGGACCAACAAGTACCATATTTTAACGTCTTTTGGTATGACGCGGTCGGGGATCGAACCCGCGACCTTCCGCTCTCCGGGCGGACGCTCTAACCACTACACCACGGAGGCGGTCCTGTTGTCAGTGACTTACCAGTAATAACCCACATCTTGTACTGTTGTAGGACATCGACCAGATACTGAACCTGATTGTCTCCCTGGTATACTACTTCTACAACCTCATGCCCCTCACCCGAGGCTCCAGGTATGTCTATAGTGACGTAGCAGATGTTCTGTGAGAATTATTAGTTTTGGATGAGTTCCCAGTTGGTGTTGTGCACATTGCATTGATTGTGTTGTTACTGCTGTTCCAGTGTTGTGGCATACACAGTAGCCCTCGGTCTGGTCATGTCGGTAGGAAGACAGGTGACAGGGAAGATACCTACAGGCAAGGTAGGTGTTGCTAGATCCTGTACATCATGAACAACAAAACTAATAACTGGAAATGTTTATGTAGCATCTTTTAGAAAGTGTTCTACAACTTTGTTGCACATTTGTAAAATTGTTTGATAACTATGCAACACAAAATGAATACATGTTAAAATTTATATACAATTGTATATAATGAGATCATTGGTCATTAACGTCACATATCAGTTGGAAAAACACATTCTGAAGCAGTTTAGTATCCAATGTACAAACTTGTATCTACTGTTTGTATTGGACAAAATGATAAACAATGCAATACAGGGACCATTTATACACACACATAAAGATGTTAAAGAAATTCACACAGCCATAAAAGATTACCTACAGTAATATGAAAGAATGTGGTGTTTTTAACTTTTTTAGAGTAACACATGTTATATTTGGGATTACACTTTCTCAGTAAAGTACAGATTCTAGTCCTTTTGTTGGGTGTGTCCAATCCTGGATCCAAACCCACACTCTCTGAGTCAGACACCTGCTATTTAGAGAAGTAAATATCCTATAGCAGGATACATCTGTAGTGATGTGATGGTTAGAACAGATCACAATCAACCCATGTTTGACACCAGAGGCAATTGTCAGGATCAGGGGCTCAGGCTAACTGACTTTTTATGTGCAAGCCATTTATACTGGTTGTGTCCTTGATGTCAGTGGATTGTTTGGTCCAGATTTGGTTGTTTTGAGACATCCATCATGTACCTGGATTATTGCTAAGTTTAGTGTAAAGTAAAACAAAATGATCTGATGGTTTCAGCTGCTAGAGTTAGAAGCCATGCTAGCAGGTGCCCCTGATGCCTTTGTTGCTGTCTCTAAACAGTGGATGAGTATCAAGAAGTAAGTCCTCTTGCCTTTCTAGTATCGAGTTGATTCAGATGTAGTAATGGAAAATTCAAGACCAACATATTGCAGAGATGCCAACCCTTACGCTTTGGGCGTAATTATTACGATTTGACCATTAAATTATGCCATTACACGTAATATGCGAAAATTACGCTTTTCTACTCGTTTTGCGAAAATCAATAAAGTGGATAAAATTTCACAGGGAATGTTTTTCGTAATGCACTAGTGCAGGGTTCAGAAATGGCCTTACACCGATAGGCATCGCTTACTCTTAGCATTGCGCTTATTCAAATTAACTTGTAAGGAATTAAAGTATTTTGTGTCACCTGACCAACAATTTTCGATGTATGGAACTTCATAATGATTGGTCACGTGTATTTCTGTCTAGAATCTTTCCTATTCATGTGAATAAACCTTTGTAAAAGTAATTTTTATAAAGTTATCACCTTTCACTAAGTAAGTGTTTTAAGTACATGTATTACACTTTTTAGGTCCAAATTACACTTTTTGACCTCCAGTATTACACTTAGGCCCAAAATAGGGTTGGCATCTCTGCATATTGTACCTTTATGTGCCAGTCAGTGGATAACCTTGTCGCTGAAAATCTCAAGTGTAATTGCTTCCACTGCAAGAAATGATGATCAGACCGAATGAGTTCCTTCGGAGAGAAAAATAATTACTAGCAGGTCAAAACTCTCACCTAGGTTTTACAAACACTTTTTCTCTGGTATTCTGGGATGAATTAGGTCCCCAGTACCCTTAGCTTGTATTAAGATGCAACTAAATGGATCAGTTTGTGACACTCAGATGACCCTGATGACTTCAGAAGGTGTGCTTCATATCAATCACTGGTTTGCCTCGCCTGGATTCCATTATTTACAGGCCACTGTGATACAGCTGAAATATTGCTGACTGTGACAATAAACAAGCATTGAAGCCCATCAATGAAGTTCATTTGAACATCTTCTTTCCTTCTTTTGTCTGTTGTATTAAATGTTTTCTAGTCTTCTAGTATATAGTTGAGGCTGTGCAGTCATTACGGGTAACTGTTTGAACATGCTGTTATTTATGTTTCAGAAACAACAATCTTGTCTCAACTCTCCCTAAAGTATCAGAAGTATTTCCAACAGTGCGCCATGTTTTAGAAGCCCTGACAGTAAACACGAGCTCGTGTTAATATATAGGAATTTTAACTGTTTTAAATTTTATATGCATTCCAGCATCAATCACACTCCCAATGATATATGCACAACAGTCTCCTGAAATAATGATCTCAGTCAGAAGTCAAGGGTGCTGCATTCTCAGCGATGAAACACGAACATGTCATTCAGAAATAGCGGAAAACACTAGGTGACGTGACATGGGTGTGTCTGTGTCTATGTGGGTATTGGGGGTAGTGGGACCCTTGTCCCATGCTGTGCAAATCCGTTAAATAGTTTTGTATGCCACTATGTGCCTTACTGTTTGAGCCTGACAAATATGACAAAAGCAATTAAGGAGACTTTGATCTGAGAAAAATCCCAATCCAGATGAGCAGTATTTCTTGTTTTACATAAGATCCAAACCCATTGATAAATGACTGATTGAAAGGAGGTTTATTTCATATTTAAAATGTGAAATATACTCTTGTTTTGTTTTCTATATTTTGTCAGTCTTACTAATTGTACATTTTCAATCTTTTTTCATAATTGTCAAAGAGAGACAAGAACATTTAGCTTTATATCAGGTTGTCGTGTAGTTTAAGTGTTGAGTCGTGGAGAATGCAGCACAATGAGCCTGTCTTCACAGTGTTATCTCAGTACTGATTGTACTGACATTATGTTATCCAGATGAGGCCACACTTTTGAATTGTTTTGTTTACAGTTGGATAGATTGACCCCAAAAGTCAGTCATAAATTTCAATTTAGTTATTTATTAATTCTTGTTTGCCCAACAACTCCATCTTTGATAGAGTGGAGCAATAAGTTACCTTTAAACGTTCTGATTAATAATTGATCAGATATTTGTCTGTAGACTCTGGGAATCGCAATATGTATACAGAGAACAAAGCTTGTACTAATTCTGCTGTTTTGGGGATCTGACTTACTCACACTGTAAGAATGTGAAAGTTGTTTTTAAGGTTTAAAAGTTTAAAGCAGAAAGAAACAATCATTTGCTAACATGTTCAGAAAATCAGTTCATAACAATGACTTTATGTGATTGCAGCTAAAGGTATGGTCCCCTGCTCTAATGACCTTCGCGATATGTATGTGGCACTGCACTTATACACATTCTGGAGTTTATATTCAGGAGTAATTGTAACTGTTTTCCCAATTTCTGTATGTTACTTGATATATACTTCTCAAAATAAGATAAGGAACACCTGATCTTTTCCTTGTCTATAGTTAATCAGTGATCTATCATTGTAGGACACACTAACCAAAGTCATATGAGAGACATTGGGCGTTCTTTTGAGCATTTTATACCGCAAAAAATAATTATTAAGTTGATTTTGCTCTTACCTATTACTAAGATGGATAATAAGAGAGAGAAATTAAGCAAGCAAATTTGAAAACAAATTTTGTTAATGACAGTATTAGAGATGATGAAAGGAGAGCCTGTCAGCAAAGGGTTCTCTGTGTTCAGTAACACTTGTTACATCCCCAATAACATGATATGATTTATGCAAATTTTCCCGAATGTTTACAAGTAAACATTGAAGATTGTGCCAGTTTTCTATAGTTTGTACCCAGCCAGATGTCAACAGTGCTGTCAATAAAACAGTTGTTATATCCTAAAGGTAATCTTGTTGTATAGTATGACCAGAAATTATTGAGAATTTTAGGAATATGTTTAATTGGATTTTCTAGTATAAACATCCTTGACCAGCTATCAAGTGCTTGGTTTCATTCAAGAGAGACAACTCCGTTAATCCTTTTTCATTAGTTTGTGAAGAGTTATCCCCCTTTGTTTACTTTCTAGCAGACGACATTTTCAGTGATCCTCAGTATGGATGATTTGGAGAAGAGGAAGTTGATTTTAGAGTATTATAACAAGGACATCAGATCAGCTGAAGTGATTCCAAGTAGAACAGGCATCCCTTTGTCCACTGTTAATCGTGTTTTGAAAAATATTGCAAATGGATATGGTATTGAGCACCAAGGAGGGACAGGTAGGCCCAGAAAATTGACTGTTGGTGACAGGAGGCGGCTTGGTATTCTTGTTTCTAAAAACAAACGAAGGAGTTTAGAAATCTTAAGGCTGGATATGATTGATAGAGGAACTGTGGTTGTCTGTAAGGAGACAATTAGAACTGAGCTGCATGCAATGGGTTGGCAGAAAAGTCGAGGAATTCCATCACCGATCATGAAACCTGAACAAAAGGAACGAATGTAGAACTGGTGCTTACAGCATAGAAATTTTAACTGGGACAATGTGATTTTCTCAGATGACTGACTGACTGACTGAGTTTGGTTTTACGCCGCTTTTAGCAATATTCCAGCAACATCATGGCGGGAACACCAGAAATGGGCTTCACACATTGTACCCATGTGGGGATTCGAACCCGGGTCTTCGGCGTGACGAACCAACGCTTTAACCACAAGGCTACCCCACCGCCCCTTTTCTCAGATGAAAGTTCTGTGTGGCTGTTTCCTAATACACTGAAATTCTGGACCAAACTAACTGAAAAACCTTTGTATCAGCGGCCAAAGTACAGTCCGAAATTTAATGTGTGGGGTGGCATATCTGTGTTAGGGGCAACGCCCCTCTGTGTATTTGAAGAGAATATGAACAGTGAGCGGTACACAGATATTCTCGAGGGACACTTACTTCCATCTGCTCACGTGTTCTATGGAAATTTTTGGATTTTCCAGCAGGACAAGGACCCGCAACATCGTTCAAAGCATTCACAGGCCTGGTTTCAGACCCAAAATATGACGTTATTAGATTGGCCAAGCTATAGCCCTGACCTAAATCCAATAGAAAATGTTTGGGGACTTATGAAGGAAAGTGTCAATAAGAAAAATCTGACAAATATTGCTGACATGAAAGAAGAGGTGGTCCGATATTGGGACAGCATGGACCACGACTTTCTAACTTCTTTGATCAGTAGTATGCCCCGCCGCATTGAAGCCTGCATTGCTGCCCATGGTCACTTGACAAAATACTAACTGTTCTTTTGTCTTTGAATCTGGAGTTATGTTCTGCTAATATTCACATTTAATACGTGAGTAATGAGTAAACAAAATTAAAAAGTTTACAATCTTTAAATTCTCAATAATTTCTGGTTGTACTGTATGTATCAAAGGATATACATAGCCTCTGTGGGAAGTCAAAGTGAGGATGGATCCCCCCGATATGTGAAGATCTGGTTAGAATAGATCTTCAGCAACCCATGCTATAACACCAGAGGCAATAAACGGGATAAGGTGGTGAAGCTCACTGACTTGGTTGACTCATGTCATCGTATCCCAGTTGTGTAGATTGATGCTCATGCTTTTGATCACTGAAGATTCTGGTCCAAACCTGATCATTTACAGTCCGCCGCTGTATGACTGGAATATTGCTGAGCGCTGTGTTAAACAAACAAAAAGATCAAAACAAAAGAAAGTACGTCCACAGCATCCTATGCTTGTATGAGGGAGGGGCGGTGGGGTAGCCTAATGGTTAAAGCGTTGGCTCGTCACGCCGAAGACCCGGGTTCGAATCCCCACATGGGCACAATGTGTGAAGCCCATTTCTGGTGTCCCCCGCCGTGATGTTGCTGGAATATTGCTAAAAGCGGCGTAAAACCAAACTCAGTCAGTTAGTCAGTGTATGAGGGAGCAGCTGGATCTGGTGGTCGGCTCTGTGACATGGTCGATATATGTCATCATGCCTGATAGTTGGTGGTGTTGCGCATAATATCAATCACTGGTTTGTGTGGTCCACACTTGAATATTTTCAGCCTGTGCACATGAACCCGGAATAATGGTCCCTGTTCTGTTAAACAAACAATAACACGATGCCTTTAATAGGGTCAGTGAGAACTACTGACTGCGTTTGTGACAGATTTGTCATTTCAAGAAGATTATGTTATATTAAGTATTTCTTATCTGCTTGTTTTGAATCAACACGTGGAAATGAAGATAACCCAGTGACACCAGATTTATGTTGATGTCCACGACAACCATATGCACACTTAAAGGAAGGAAAGTAACATATACTAGGCACATAAAGAAACTGCATTGTCAAAATATTATCCCAGTTGAAAAGTACGATAACAATGTCAAAGGTACATATAAACTTTAATGGAGGGATCATGAGACCATAACAAGTCGGGAGAATTTCAATTGAAAAGTGAATTTGCAGGCCAAGGCAGTAAGTCAACGTTGTGGTGTTTCAAGAAATCCATAGCAACCCTTGCCGTATGAGGGCGGACATTGTCCTGTTGGAATGTTAACCCAGGGCCATGACGTTGCAGAAAAGGAATTGCCACAGGTCGAAGAATCTGATCCCTGTAGCCCAAACCAGTTAAGTTGCCCTGAACAATCACCAAAGGAGTTCTTTAGCGTGCTGTTATTCTACCCCAAATCATCACGGAACCACCACCAAAGCGATTCTTCTCCAAGAAACAGGCCTGTGCATAACGTTCTCCCACGCGTTTATAGGCACGTTGACGTCCATCACTATGGGAAATGTTAAACCTGGACTCATCTGTAAAAACAACATTTCTCCACCAAAACAAGGGTCTGCGGACATGATTTCGGCACCACATTCGGCGAGCTTGTCGATGACGTTGTGTCAGGATAGGCCGTATGGCGGGACGTCGTGGTCTGATCCTGTGATGACGTAAACGTTGTCTAACTGTGTTGGGGTGGATACGGCGAAGTCCTGGGATGGTTCGGGCAGTCATCACTGCAGTCTGAAACCTGTGGCGAAGATGGGTCACCCTTATCCATCTGTCCTGTCTTGGCGTTGTTACACGTGGACGCCCAGAACGTGGCCGATCGATGACGTCATTTGTGTTCTGGTAGCGTCTCACCAGTGCAGAAATAGTGTTCCGGTGGCAGTGGAAATGTGCAGCCATTTGTCGTTGAGATTTGCCGTTTAATTTTTTGAACGATCGCAAGGGCAGAGGTTGAGCTTTCCAAAGTGACAGTATTGTGTGGCATTCATTTGCTCTGTTTCTCTTTCCCGGAATGCACGTGCAACAACGTATTGCACGTCTCAAGGACGAACCCACTGACGTCACGGAACGTGGCACGTGCATGCATGTTGGATACATGTCACTAATCTCTGAGTTTAATTCCTTATGTGTCTACACGGGTTTGATAAATTTAGATTTTATATTTTTGTATGCACAGTTTCTTTATGTGCCTAGTATAGTTCTTGTCTGTATGTACATGGGTGCAGAAAACGTATGTACAATAAGCGGGGATGACATGTAATACATAATGTATCATGGCAGAAGGTTATGCCCTTTACAATGAAAACTAAAAGACCATGAAAGCAGTTGGAACATCATGGCATTACGTATATGCTAAATTTTATTTAAATATTTAATTTTGCATCGTGAATATTTCGCCAGTCGAGTTTATTTAATTTCGAAGTTGGATAGCAAACCATCCTCGATAATCTCCACTATAGTGGAGATTATAACGTATACCCTGGAGATGATCGAGGATGACGGGAAGGGTGTAGTGGCTGAATTAAGAGATGCGTCCATAAAATATCTAGGTTTCATCTTTGCACTGTAAACTCCCATGATCGCTGTAATGACAGTTTAATATTGAACAATGTGATTTAAAGCAGGGGCGGATACAGCTTTTTGAGAAGGGGGGGGTGTTTGCACACTTCATTTTTACCGAGTTCCAATGGTCATTTAACAAACTTTCAACACAAAGACAAAGAGGTGTGTGTGTGTGTGTGTGTGTGTGTGTGTGTGTGTCTGCGCACCCCTGCAACAACAACCACCCCACCCCACCCCCTCTGGATCCGCCTATGTAAAGTTGTCTCTATGGTGAACATTTACAGTTATATTTTAATATCCAGTCTCGTTTCTGAAAAAAAATTATCCAAAATTTGTAATCCTGCTTTAATTACAGATAATATCATTTCAAAGGAACGAAGAGAGCCAGGAGGTGTGAAATATTGTTATTTGTTTCGATTTCACTAAAAAACAAACCAGAACTATGTAATCATGCTTAAATATTTGTTAAAACGACACGTTCACATAACTGTTAAGACAAATGCGTTCGAGGCTAGCATGTGGGTCGGCAAACACATACTGCCACAAGATCGATGTTTTTTGTCGGCCATAGTTTCCTGAGACAAACGGCTTAGACTAAACAAACTGTCAAAACGGACCCTGTAAAGAGCCTTGAGAATGATGGATGAAATGCGACCTTTTCATCGTGCTTCCCATATTCTCATCAAAAAGTCCCGTTTATCATACTGGCCAATCTCTCGGATGGGTTAATTAATATTTTTTCCTCTTTAAAGCTAGGTTCAAACCCATGAACGTGTGGCCTTATCTAAGCGAGTAGGTAATCTTAAATGAAGCAACGCAGCTGTTCTATTTACGCATGCGCAATGTTCTACTTTGAATTTGGTTCGGTATTAGCAGGAATGCACTGTGTCAAATAGACGTTTAAATAATTACCATTGCGTTCCCCGAATCAGACAGGCGACATCTGCTTGTGGGAATGCGATCCACGAAAAGTGTTTTAATTGAATTCTAAAGAATTTAATCAAGCACGTTTTTGCCATGAAGAGTATAAATTTCATTCCTAGCCTGTCAAGATGCATTTTGAAAG